ACTTTGTGTCATTTATCTGACCTTTCTGTCAATATATTGGTTGATTTCAGAAAATGGTCGTGCAAAACGTGATAACATGATTACGGACGTTTATTTGTGGGGAATAAACCATGGTTCTGCACCAACAAATTTGATGGTAGTAATAAAAGACCTCTGGGACGACGTTTTATTCGGCCAGGCTCTTGAACGTACAAGAGGGTATGAAAACAATATTCTCTTGGCATTGCCTCAAGACCCATCTGGATCTGTTTGTGTTGCAAGTTCWGTTTGGCTTTGGTCRAGCCTAMCAYKTGGAGYGAGCCCTCTAAGCTCGCACAGTGGACTATGTCTTTCCTGTGAGAAGCTGATGAAGTATAAATCAAAATAACTAAGCACTGGGTTTTGAAAAATCRGAATTTGATCTGCATCATTAGTATAGAAAATCGGTTGTTAAGAATTATATCCTCAAAAGACGCGAATTTGATCTGCGTTATCAGCTACAATAGGCCCTTCAGTTGTCCGAGTATCAGCCCCAAGTATCACACCATCCTATACAAACAAATAAATGAAATCAGCAATGTCTATCTTTAGTTGCCCGAAAATCAGCCTCAATTCATCGATATGATCTGATCACACAAACCGAGCTCCACAATTTTAATAAGAAAACCTCTCTTTGTGGAATATCAAACCACCACTCTATAGCTCAAGAGCCTTAAATGACAACTTGTTCAGCTACCTTATCATTAACATTTGTATCTTAGCCTTTTGGACTCACTTTTTCTGACTAAAATGAACACTAAACAACTTCCATAACTTGCAAACAACCATCAGAGAGAACTTACTATCCAACAATTACACTATGCTAAACACACGAAAGCAATCAAAGCATACACAAAGCCAATACATTTAAGAGTATGTGAGAGTAAAACAGACCTGGAAAATCAACCCAACGATAGTTGTTCCAGTCTTGAGAAATCTAGGGGCTTTAAGACCCTTCTGTACAAGCATATCATTCCTTTTACACAGACCAAAGCTAAACCCACCTTTTGGCGGTAAATCGACGGTAGATTGCGACATTCTCCGATTCACCACTCTAGAAAATAAGGAAAATTTGAGAAACATCAGATGATCGATCACCCAAGAATGTAACAAACTAATATTTTCGGGTACAAAATCGGAGAAAACTAAAGCTTAAGAAGAACAATTTCACCTTGGTTTGACGAATTGCGAGATGAAGAAAGCTCGAATCGG